CCACCCGAGAAAAGGAACGACTAGGGATGCGTAATCTGGCACGTCTGGTTTGGTTGATGAGCTTAATCTAACATGTTAGACGAGTGTGAGTAAAGTTAGAACCATCATTGATCGGACAAGTAAAATCAACTTCTTGTGAATGGCGGCTTAACAGCTTCTCTCTCCTTCAATCTATTAATCAAGCATAAATACTTGCTACTTTTTACCACCGTTCCTCACATTTATCGTATTTCCTAAGCTATTAATTTTAATAGCATCTCTTATCATTTTTTAACCGTTTTTATCATTGCTAAATAATTTATTTTATTAGCATTATTGTTATTTCTTATGGGACAAAGAATATCTTGTTCAATAGCACTGGCTAGAACTATGTTAATGAAGAAATTAAATCCTTAAGAACTGGATAGTTTTTTGTCCGTTCATTTTCCTAGCTCTTAAGGATGTTGATATATTTTAATTGATCTAATGCTCTTTCTGTCTACTCATAACAAAGGATAACACGATATTGGATTTTTATCGCTCATGTAGCTCAGAGTTCTTCGATTGTTATCCCCCATTAAATGCTAGAGGATATCGTGTTTTCGCTTCCTTTGGACTATCTAATTCCTTACTTAAGACATTCCTTTTCTATTACACAGTATATGCCTTCGCTTCTCTATCCCTCTCTTTCTCACTCACTTTTTTTTATAATTAGGTAAATCACTAGCAATTCGTGAACTGGGTATTACTCAGTGGAGTGTCGTAGCAAGCCTAGCTAAATTGAAACTGAGCCTCTCTTCAGACTGCATGGACATACTTTATATGAGCATGCGTGGACTTCGCTTCAATCTTAGCTCGAACTACGTCAGCACGGAGATGTCTGCTGTTCTCTCCGACCTGCGAATTTGTGATCTCCATCCTGATACAATTTTTAAAAAGGCAGTTAACAAAATTTAAATACGCCTTATTTACTAAGTTGTACTTTCATTACCATCTTCCTACTTTATTTTCAGGTTTAGCTCTAGAATAAATGTTTATCCTCAAGTGATTATTGTATGGACTATGTTAAGTGAGATTGGCTTCAACTACTTGGATTCTCTTCTTTCGGAATACGGGGTGAACTGTTGAGCACGTGGGGAATCAAAAAAGATTTCTAAAAAAATTTTCTACTTGGGCTGTGCCCAACTCTTGACACAAATATGGCTGCTACATGCATTCAGTTTATTCTACTCTAGAGAGACCGCTTCCCTCATTCGCCATAGATTAAATAAACACAAAAATGCTTGTGAATGGTGATACTAAAGTACCTTGCATTTCCTTTATAGAGACTAGTGAATGGGTTTCGTGAGTTAGCATCACAAGAAACTGTGACTAGATTTGTGCAAATAATGCCTCGGTACACTGCTCTTTAATATCAATGCATCTTTGCTAAGCTTTTATCCGTAATGTAATGCACATCGTCATAGTAAGACATTCTTTACAATACTTCACCAAAACCCGAAGATAAACCTACCTACTTCTTATAGCCTAACTTTGTCCACTTAATGAGATATTTCACGATTTGCAGATATTTAGAAGAATTGGTATTCGAGGAATCCCTTAATAGATTGACTTTGGAGTACCTTTCATTTTGTTTAAGCGCTGAGAGGAAGGGATTCTTGAACTGGTATAATTGAGAGCCGAAGAAGAGTTGTCTTTGGGATGTAATTGCAGATTTAGGTGAATAAGTAC